ACGTCCTTTTTTCCTCTCATAATATTTATTCTGCTCTGCTTCAACGTATTGAGCACTGTTCCACGCGAAAATCGACTTACAGACTTCCTATATATATATATATATATATTTATAAATATAATTATGGAGGAATTTTTAAGTCTGTGTACTTGTGTGTGCAGGTAAACACTATAAACTATCACAAAGTTTTATAGCACACACAAATATACGTGTGTACAATGTTGCGTTAATTTAAACAGCGTAAAACAAATCCTACATAAATGACAGCGCATGAAGAGATCAGAGTCTATGTTAACATCCACTCACAATCGTTTTCTCCCCCCTACAAATCACTTTTGCCCAAGAAAGACTCCTTCATTGACCTTTGGCACAAAACCACAACACAAACTAAACAATATGCATGTATTTTCACACACGGTACCTCACATCAAAGTTCCTTACCATGCCATCAACTTCAGTGAAACAATCTGCGTCATCGACTGCTGTGTTCTCGACCAGCGTGTCAGCACTGTTCAATTCTTGCAGCTCAGATGACACCTCCTCTCATTCCATTTGACTTTGAGTGATTTCCATGTAGTCATCTCCAACATCACTAGATGTGGTTGCAGCTTGGAAAGTTACGGTCTCTATTCACCTCTTTGCATTCTTGATCGTCTGGAGCAATAAAAAAAAATTTCTTCAGTATGTTTTTTTATAGGCTTGCATACATATATGTCTTGAATCAAGACGATTGACACAGTTCACAATTCTTACCTGTCGTTCCTGGCAATGTTTCACACTTTTGTTCAAAACTGGAGTTTTGAAAAGGTAAAGCAACAAATGAAGTCATGTTCAGTGAAAGGTCTCAAGCATAAAGTAGAGTTTCTGGTTGGCTCCCATTTGGCCCACTTCTGTTTCACAAAATCAACCCATTTCTTTCTACGTTTTCTAGCTTTTGGGCCGATCGTCATTATAGAAAGGTATAGCATGCAAAACTAAACCCTTCTCCACTTCTAGGAAGGCAGAACATCCACCAGCTACACATCTCCCCGGCATATTTGAGTTCAGCACAGCAAAACAACTGAGAAGAAGTGACCAAGCGCTTGACATGATACCGTGTCGACGTCACAAACTAGTAAGTACCCGGTCTCTCAAGTGCTCCTTTCTGTATTCAAAATGGCAGAAAATAGGTTATTTTCAGGGATTTCGTCTGCCCATTAAAAAAAAAGATGAAATAACGAAAGGGATTTTTTTCTTCGAGAAATGTCTTGGACAGATGAAAAATTTTCGAAATTCATTGAAACTGGCTAAGCGTTATAGGCACTTTAATGATACCAGCTTCATCGACTGCGATAGCACACAATTTGGATGTGTAAATATCGCTAGACAGCATTATACGCCAATGTTCATTGTTCAACCAAGCCTCCGGAGTTCCATAAAAGACTCTACACCGTACTTATTTGAGAGCTCTAGCCTCTCTGTCAGCGATATCGCTCAGGCTTACAGCAGGGATACCAAGTTTCGGAAGACTTCCCACTTGGTCTTTCATCAAATTTACAAGAGGAGAAATGACCACAACAACATGTCCTGTGCTGTTGCATGTCATGTCAAAAATCAAAGGCAAAGCTTGATAAATAAGTGAATTTCCATATCCAGTTGGTAGATTAATGAAGATGTCCACCTTTTTCTTCACAAAATATCCCATAGCTTCTCGCTGAAAAGGATTCAAATCAACGATTTTCAAAGTCTCGCAAACCCATTGGAAGGCCACACAAATGTCCACCATTGTTTCTTATAACTTCGCGCGTGAAAATTCATCAAGGTTCAAAGTTTTAAACTCAAGTGTAACCAAGATAAATTTCAAGCTATGAGTCTTGGACCAAGACACAAGAAAAAGAGAATGAACCTAAATATAAAGGACATTAACATAAAATCAAGTTCCAGGATTGATCTTTTGGGAGTGGCAATTGATGACAACTTGAACTTTACTAAGCATATCAATAATGTCTGTACTAAGGGGGCAAGGAAAGTAGCAGTACTTATGAAGTTCAGGAATTTAATGCCTACTGAAGCTAAATTAAGAATTTTTAAAGCTTTTATTTTACCCCAAGTTTCATATTGTCATATAGTATGGCACCATTGTCGCTTGTCAGACAAGAGAAAGCTTGAAAGGCTGAAGGAGCGTGCAATGAGGGCTATTTATTGTGACAGGGCTAGCACTTATGAAGCACTTCTAGATAAAGCAAGACTTCCAACGTTATGTAATCGCATACTCCAGGACATGGCTATATTTATGTACAAAGTTAAGACTAATTTAGTCCCACCAAATATTTCTGAACTTTTTAGTTGTGGAATAAGTAGGTACAATCTTAGGAATGCAGATGATTTCTCCTTACCAAGATACAACACGGTTACATTCGGAAGACATAGCTTAAGGTACATGGGACTTTATATTTGGTCAAAGCACAAATCAATCAAAATGGCTGACTCTCTAACTGCATTTAAAAATCAAGTCAGAGTCCTTGACCTATCAAATGTTATATTGAAAAATAATTGTGAAAATTCTGAGTTATGTAAAACTTAATTTTATATTGTTTGTATATAGTTTTTCTTCAGTAAATGGCTTGAACCCGGGGGTAACATGTGAAGGTGTATGGAAAAATTATAGTTTTCATTATTACTCAGCCATGTCTCAGTCATTGCGAAAATGTCCACGTTATTGTCAACTGCGTAATCTTTGATCGCAAGTTCCTTCTTATTGATCGATCTGGTATTCAACAAACAGAAGTCGATGGGTACGAATCTATTCTGCAGTTTTTGCTTTGAGCATCTTATGCTGATAAGATTGTGACAATTCACTCCTCTGGGACAGCAATTTTTGGAGCCAAGGGCGACGTTGTGTAACACAGTGGTTGGCCGTAATGCATGGCTGCGCTTGGCTTGCGATGAAACAATGACCGGTATTATTAGTTTAGTTTACGTAGTAGGTGTCCCCAATTAGTTTTTACTTGTAAAAACTAAACAATTGACACGTTAATAAAGTTATTCATTCATTCATTATTTATTCATTCATTCATTCCTTCATTTATTCATTCATTCAAGAGAGGCATACTCTTCTTTAAAATCTGTCTGATGAAACTCAGAGTCACAGAAAACAATATGTCCTATTGCAGGGTTTGGTTTCCCTTGTTATTACATCATCTTCAAATCACCGATTGGTGCAATTCCTATTTTAAAGCCGCTAGTTGTAAGTGAAATTTGAACGTGGCAAAACGTAGGGCGAGTTGTCCTAAAGATGCCCTCAAGATAATTCAAGCGTGGCAAATTTGCTCGAGATGCCTCCACAGCAAAACTATTACAACTAAGCAGGCACACACTGAGATAGAGCACCAAAGACTCGTGGAGAGAATGTATTCGTCGACGTGAGATAAACTTCTTGATCGCTCATCCTCGAGCTTACTGCAAAGTTTTTGGGCGTTTTCACACCTTCCAAACCAGTTGAAGGTTACACCAGTAAAAAAGAAACATCAAGAGTACTGTAGAAAAGATGGTTCACTTACTTACATTATTAAAGCCTGTCTCATCTCCTGATTGCATCAAGATTTCGTTGGTAAAAGCGGAGTAAGTCCACAAAACATCTCTGACACTTCTGCTGTCAATCAGTTAGTGTGCGTTTATTCTGATCACATGGTAAGAGAAACCTGGAACGAAGGAGTCACGTGAAATCGAGTGGCTCTGGAGATGAGAAGTAACGTCAATCTTAATTTCAGCGGGTTTCCCTAGAAATGTATGTGTGATTCGACAGCATTATATAGCGTCTACGCATGCGTCGACTAAACCCGCTGAACGCATTCGAGTTCCCTCTCGCTCCCTCGCTACCACAGAAGGAAGACAAAGATTGAAGAGTTAAAAAATCTGTCAGGACTGTTGAGTTTGTTGTTTACTGTCAGGGGATCGTTTGTTGTTTACTGTCAGGGGATCGTTTGTTGTTTACTGTCAGGGGATCGTTAATTTCAGGACCTCAGAATGGATCCAAGAGGTGCTCCCATAAACTGTACGGCAGGAGCTGTTCCTGTAAAAAATGAAAAGGGTATGTTGATTACCATGCAATAGTGCTTGAAAGAACTTTGGTCTCAAACACAGGATTTTAGCTGAAAGTGCATTAGTTATTTGGCGAATATGACGCATTTTGGTTTTCCACAGGAGAATTAACGATGAAGAAAGTAAAAGTCAGCAGATATGTGGCTGGTAAACGGTAAGATATTTCGTTCTGCATTTGACAACGACATGTAAACTAACATGCCTTGTTGGACTCTCCTGTGGTTACATTTAACGTAGACCTCGGTTCGTTATTGTTCGACTTTAGGCCTGAATATGCCAAGTATTCCAGTGATGAGGAGGAGGAAGATGATGGATTATTGGGAGAGCCGTTTGTCAAAGATCGAGAGCTTGATGAACAAGAAATAGACAAAGTAAGTGTATCTTTCTTCGACCACTTCCCATGGAAAAATTATGTTTACACGACTGCGAAGGTGCCACTAATAGACTTCGTCGTAGTGCAAACTAATTGGTTTGTGTCTGAAATGCACCTTGCACAGAAAGCTGGGAAGGTTACTGGTCGTCATTATGTTGTTCAAAGGCACTTCTATGTTTATACAAATGTTGTAAGCACAAATATGTTTTGCCCCAACTCCGGCCCAAAACATATTTATGCCCAAGAACATAAATTCTATTTTAAATTTTATTCTAAATAACTAAAAAAGCATGATAATAAACAGTCTAAATAATCATCCAAGCTGGTTAAAATACATGTTAGTCCACCAAAATCTCCCTTTTAACCTGCAAAATATGCCACAATGTTCGGAAAAGTGATAATAATTGTTCGCAATGATTTTGTTTTGGAAACATCACGTAATGCTCTGGTAAAGACAACTTGATAATTAGCTAGAATTAGAGGAGATTGTGACAGATTTTTGCTTTTATGGTATTACACCTTGAGGTGAACTGCAAAGTAGTTCTTTCCTGTATGCCTTTTATAAAGCCTTGGACCCTCTAGGTACCAAATCGCACTGACAGGCATCTTCAGGAAACGTATGATAAAATGACTAACATTGAGTCTACTTGGAAAGAGTACATACTGAAATATCCACAGATTCAAATGAGTTGAACTTTGCAAAACTTGGTACAAGAACAAAGTTTAACAAAATCAGACCCCAGCAATAGGGATTTTTGCAAAAAGTCTTGATTTGTGAGTAAACAAAAGTTTCCTTACCACTTTTTGTGTGTTACATGTAAATCCCAACCTCAACCATGATAAATCTGTATGTCCCTGGAAGTGCATCATTTGATTCTCTATTATTTTCTGTGTAAATCTATAAGGTATTCCAAAAAGCGGAAAAGACTGACAGAAGGTTGCGGAGACTGCAGGAAAGAGTGAAAGATGATGAAGATGAGGAAATGTAAGTTGCAATAGTGTAAACATACATGCAATCTACACTGTGACATGGATTATTTACCCTGAAAAGAATGGGTACTGATCAGACCTAGAACTTGATGATTAAGTTAAAATTTTGATTACTGTCCTATACTTTTTAACCACAGAATCAAACAAAATTCTTGAATTATTAATGTTGTTTCTTTAAAATGCTTGGGGAATCACCTTTGATCAACCTCTGTTCTATTCTTTCTCAAAGAGGGGAAAGTGGTAACCCTCATGAGTATTGTTGTGTCACACAATTTCTATACACCCACAGAAATCTCAGGGTCTTTATGTCTACTATTACAAACAGTATGTCACTTAAAGCATCTAATTGTGGGATTGGTGTAGTTTGAACAAAGATATCCCTTTCAAATACTTCTTCTGAACTACTTCACCTTGCTTTCAAGAATCTTATTTTGTTCAGAAGAAATGAAGGGAAAAGGGGATAATGGAAAAAAAAAAACATACACAGTTAAAAAAAAAAAAGAGTTACACTGATGAAAGAAAGCATAGGATGAAATATATGGCATATGGAAGGGAAACTACAAATCTGACGTGGGAAATAGCAGTTGAAAGTGTTCATTTGTATTTTAACCCGTAAACTTCCTCAAGTGACCAAGACAGAATTTCCCCTTACAATATCAAGCTGACAAGTGATGAGAATAAAGAAAAATTTTAATAAGAGGATTATTGGTTGATCAAATGCATGTTCCAACATCACAAGAATAGTATGGCAGACAGTAAGGAGAATTGCTCATGAGATCTTGGAAGGGAAAGGGTTGAGTGTGAATATCCTCATTGCAATCTTCCAAAGGTTTTTTTCTTTTGCTTTGTCAAAAAATCCATTATGAAAAGAATATGGAATTGTAAAGAATATACAGTTGTAAAGAATGAAAGCGTGATTTTTAGTTCTCTTCTTCAGGGATGAAGGACATAGACGTCGTCCACATGAACCAGAAGTGATTGCCATGGGGGACGAAGAAGCTTCTGGGGAAGAGGTAGGGTCACGAGTGGTCCAGTTTCTCCTATATTTAGTTCTACAGCTGGATATTGTTTTAGAAGATAATTACACGGTATTTTGTATGTGTCCGAACCATTTATGCAGGATCCAACTGAGACTATCCTAGGTTACCAGAATTTAAAAACTAACAAACATTTTCCATGTCAGTGAATTGTTCCAATGTGATAGTTGTGGTAATGTTGCTCCAGACCAGTCTTGTACCTGTATTAGGCTTCACAAAAAAAAAAAAAAAACAGAATTTGCATGGCTACAGTTTAGATTTTCAAGTACACAACTTACTGCCTTAAGTAAGATTCTTCTTGCTTTTATTTACTGCATGTACATGTGGCATTAAGTTTACATCAGAAAATGTAACAGATACAGGATTTAATTGCATAGAATGAGTTCAAACTAAGTTGATTGGTATTTTTTTTCCAGTTGAAAAATTTATCTATAACATAGGAAACTGTAAAGTAAGCTAGTTGAATTTAATTTTGACGTAAATTTATTTAAGGTGCGACACATTTATATGTGTTTACTCCTGATGCAAACACAATATTGTATCATGAGAAAATCATACAACCTTTTGTGGTGTTAAAACAATGTCATGTTTTTCTGTAGAGTGACAGAGAACAAAGAAGAAGGTTGCCAAGGATGGAAGAGAGTAGGTTAGTGTTTGGAATTTCATCTCTCTCAGGGCACCAGAATTTGTTTTCTTAAAAATACAATGTGTATTACTGCACTTTTAATTCTCTATTTACATATATTTCTCACTGGATTATGCTAAAAAATTTCTGTGTATGGCTGGGTGGCTGGTTAGTTATCATGGTACATGTGCTTGGACTAGTAGTGTTAGGACAACAAACTTCTATAAAGTGGTATTAAACTCATCGGCACTGATGAGCTTGGAGGAAGGAAAAGGCGGCTCACATTAAGATCCACGACGATCTCAAAACGTACTGAAAACCTTGTGACTCTGCAACCGCAAAGGGGGCACCCCACAACATGTCCTCCGCTGTCCATAGTGCCTCGATTTTAACCTTGCCTAAATTTCATTTGGCCTTCTTTAAAAAATATTCTCTCAATACCCAGTAATCCACATTGCACCAAAATGGTGGTCAAACCCTGAGCATATGCACCAGGATCACATTTGGCAGCATTTGCCATGAAAAATCTTAAAGGAAAACGTAAGATACAACCAGGCAAGATGTACAAAGAAAAACTGACATTTGTCAGTAGAACATTCATAAAAATCTGTAAAAGAAAACAAAAGTAGGAGAAAGGAAAACTCGAGAATTTTCCTAGATGAAGCTTAGATATATTCAGGTATCGTGTTGATTTACCATTTTATTTGAGCTTTATCAATGATAGAAGGTATATCTTTTAAAAACACAGACATAGTGTGTCCTACTGGCTTGTGTGGTTGTAAAAAAAACTTGGCTGTAAAAGCCTAGGAACAGACTACGGAGCCACTACAACATCAACATACCCACAGATGTAGGAGCACTATGCTCATGGTGTTGGAGCTTAATCCAGTTTCTGTAGCATTAGGCAACAAACATCATTGCATTTTTGCATTTAGCCCATTTTAGGATACCTCACCTCTCCTCTCCTCTCCCCTCCTCTGAACTGTCAGATTTCCTTGACAGTTTGTTGGTAGCCAATATTACTCCCAGATATAGAGAGGGGCACTGTGTGGTTAGAGTGTCTTTCCTAAGACCACATGACAGTGAGGTACCATGGGTTCACTTTAGCATGCTATTAATTTAGTGCCATGTCTCCCAAGTGAGTTATGGTAAAGTTCCCATACTTAAACTGTACCTTAGTTTGTAATAACTACAGAGTAGATCTGTCAGAGGTGTTGTAAACATTGAGCCAAAATTAATGAAATAAAAAACATTTTGAGGTCTTACTAAAATGAAAAAATATTTTCATATTTTCTAGTGATGAAGAAGATCTGGATGAGGAGGTTAGTGCTGTAAACTTGTAAATTTCTTCTTTGGCAATTCACAATTAAATTGTAGTGAACTGATTGCTTAATACTGTACAGACCCTTTAGCTCTCATGTTTGACCAAGACATAATTTGTCTTTATGATGTCAGAACATTATCGTGTTCGCAATTGAGAGAAAGAAAAATACCAATTAGAGGATGATTGCTTGATCCAATTCTAAATTGTGAGAACTAGCATCATAAGAATTATACAGCGGCCAGTAAGGAGAATTATTACAGGACTCGGGCAGTCAGAGGGCCAATAACTAAAATCAACCAATCAAAATGCTCTATTGCCGGTCAATATTCTCTCAGTATTGGACCGGGCACTGTCCCGAATGGTCCCGAATGATACCGCACTTGTGTCCCTTTGAACTTCAGTCGTATAATAAATCTCTTATTAACCAAGCTTGCTCGGGACCGTACTGGAAGAATATCGGCCCTCTGTCTTTTTTGTACGGACCTCGCTGCGCTCGGTCCGTACTGTCAAGACCTCAAGCCAATATTCTCCCAGTACAGCCCTCGCTCTTGGTTAAGATATATGAAGTAACCCAATCATGGGAGTGAAATGGCTAAGCAGTCATTAGTGAGAGTAGGGTAGTTGTAAATACAGGTTTCACTGTGCTGTACATTTAGCATTGTGAAGAACCTGTTTATACTTTGAAGTTTTACATGTAAAAATTATCTTAGCAAACTTTCAATGTGAACATCAAACAGTTTGTCGTGGTATATCCATGTCTAGACAAAAAACAACATCAACATGGAAGAGAAAATCTATTAACCTCTGAAGTCCAGTGGAAAATTAATCTGTAACTTCCCTCCACAAGTGTACAGTATTCTCCATAAACAGTACCCTCAAAATCACAAGAGAGACCTGTCAAACTCATTCATGAGTAAATGTGTAAAAACTACATTATAAGGGAGAAGTACTGAATTGCTCTTGGAAGATTTGCTCTCAAACTTAAAATATTATGTACATGTAGCGTTCATGTGTGTGAGTGTTCATTATAATTTCATCCCTATTCCAATGTCTTTTAGGCAACTGAGAGAAGAAGAGCAATGCTCAGGGAAAGAGCAAGACAAAGAGAAACTGAAAAGGTGAATTCACAGTTACTGTTTTACCAATAAAGTGTATCAAAAAGTCTCCATTCTATACTTACTTGTAAAGCATTTGAATCAAATTAAATGCCTGTGTATGAGTTCTGCTGAAATGAAGATTGTAAGGTGTGCAATAATAGCAAAATAACCTCATACCTGTGCAAGACCTCGTTTTTTTTCTTAGTCGGTATACACAGCTTCTTTTGGAATACTTAGGTTTCTTTAAATTTGTTCTTACCCGGGGGTTTCAATAACTTTTTCCATAAGCAGTTGCCAATGTAACAGGTGGCTGTGCTGTAAGGCAAAACTCAAACCTCAGAGCCTGCTTGCAGGCTTAAAAAAGTGGCAGTGAAAGGTAGAAGACTCTATTAACACCCCTGTTGCCACCTTAGAGAGAGATTTAATAGTAATTGTTTATGACCTAAATAGAGACTTATTTATTTGAATTATGCTTTGTGAGACTATGTGCTTTAGAAATACTGACCTTGTATAATTTCAATGTTCCAGTGACCAAGCTTGACAGTCACTATCTTTCTTAAATTAGATAGAATAAATATATGAAGTTCATATATTTTGAACTGCGGTATTAGATACGTATGAGGCACGATCCTCGCAGTAGATAGCGCTATTTATGCAATAGCGAAAATCAGACCTGAAAAAAACTTCATATATTTATTCTATCTCATTTATCACTTTCACGGGTTTATTACGAATCAGCTTAACGGCCTGCTCCCAGTTGGCTTGTTAGCTCAATTGGTAGAGCGCTGCACTAGTATCGCAGAGGTCAGTGGTTCGAGTCCCGTACAGGCCTGATTTTTTTCAGGTCTGATTTTCGCTATTGCATAAATAGCGCAATCTACTGCGAGGATCGTGCCTCATACGTACCTTTCTTAAATTATTAACCACAAGACACTTTCACAATTGCTGAACAGATCTTAACTCTTGTCACATATGGACTCATGCAGATTGTGTAGCCTTCTAAGAATTTAACTGTGACTCAGAGGTAGTGTTGAATCACAACGGGAGAAGGTCAGCAGTTCAAAATCTTGCAGAGGACCTGGATACTTTCTTTTTCTTAATCTTACGGCAAATGAATGACATCTTTCTCTATTGCAAGGTAATTTTTTTTTAATCTTTCAGGACTTAATGGATTTAGAGGAAGAAGCCAAATCAGATGAGGAAGAGGAAGAAGAAGAGGTTTGTGGGGGTGTTATTTTCAAATTGTACGGTAGCAAGCATAACAATGTAAGACTAAATTATGTGTTCTCACAGTCTTCAGAATATGAAGAATACACAGATTCTGAAGAGGAAGGCAACCAAAGGTTTAAACCAGTGTTTGTGCGCAAGTAAGTTTTATTTTATCTGTAAAATTACTCTGCCAGCTACCTCAGGACCATAGAATTTTTGGCAAGACTTCTGCACAGCCCCAAACTTCATTATTTACGCAGTTCTTGGATAAAGAAGGGAGTAACGAAAACAATCGACTGCCTTTGGAACTACATGTACGTGTCTCAAAGGATTCATAAATGAACCACCAATTCCTATTACCAAAAATCCTCAAAATAAACACACAAACCTCTTTTTGCTCCGAACAGGAGTGACAGAGTCACTGTTCAAGAACGTGAACAGATGGAGCTTGATCTTGAGCGCAAAGAAGAAGAAAAAAAGAAGATTCACGAGGAGAGGGCAAAAAGTTCACGCAAGGTACAAACCTTTACAGACATACCTATCTGTTACCTATCGTATCAATATTGTCACAGTTTTAGTGCCATGAGGTTTCTACTAAAATGTGGATGAAATTCAAGGGAAGAAATTATTCTTCCGTATGAATTAACAAATGGTGAACACCACAGCCTGCCCTATTGAGTTGTGGATGCACGCGGGGGGTTGCTAAGCACGTAAGAAGCGTAAGTATCGCGCGAGGAGATAGCCGTGAGCGACTCCAACGACCTCTAGCAAACTTCCCGCGTACATCCATAACTCAATAGTCTGCGCTGTGAAGTTTACTATTTGTTTTATAACATAACATTGATACATTGTAGCGAAAGGGTTCCCTTTTATTTCACAAATCTTACGTAAGGAGAAAAAAACAACCGTGCGAAAACTAGTCGTTGCACTTGCTCACGTCAGCAGCGGACACCCCTGGGCAAATGGTGAACACAAAATTTACCAATCAGAGCGTGCGCTTTACTTTGGTTATGTGATAAAAGAAGCCTTACAAACAGTCAGGCTTCAAAGGGTTTGGAACCTGTGCCTCCCAGATCACTGTTATCTGATTTCAATATTACTGTGTGAGGTGTATTGGTTTCCATTGGAACCCTTTCACCCCCATGAGTGTTCCTAAGGTAATATCTCGCAACAGTATTTAATATTCTCGAGCGGACAAAGAATGACAGTGAAGAAAAATACAAACTAGAGGATACTGAGGGGGAAACAAAAAGAGAAAGACAGGATATTTAAACTTGGTCGTTTATTTATGAAAGATATTATTCGTTGGGTTAGGTGTATGAGATGTTATTATGATTAACACCAAATATCAAGATCTAGCATTAAGACAAATCTACTAAAGACTGGAAGGAGAATGAAGATGGTGAATTTGGTGAAAAACGGAACTAACCAATTCTCCTCTGTTTTACAGCTGGTCGAGGATCTTCTTAGGAAAGAGTTACAGGAAGAGCAAGAAGGTATATTGCTTTCGAGTCTAAGAAACTCTAGGCAACTAGTGGCTGAGGAACATGACAAGGACATGTGGTACTCACAGTATGGTTTATGCAACTTGGAGAACTTTCTGAAAAATTTTTCTCCCAGGGACAGACATTTTTGCAGCAACAGGTCACAAAATTTGGAATTGGTTTGAATTAGTGAGATGATGACAGCATGAGTGATAAACTGATTTGCAGAGACTTGTTTTGGACACACACGCAACACTTTATCACAAACTTGTTTTGGACATACTACACAGAGCAGTTTGTCGCAAAATTGTTTTGTCACAAACTTGTTTTCAAAAAAGTATACACAAAGCAGTTTGTCACAAACTAGTGTTGAAAACACTACGCAGAGATCACTTTGTCACAGTTGCTTCGTTGCAATTTGCTCTGGAGACACTTCATACAGCCCAGTTTGTTAGAAAGAAATGCCACAAGCTCTTGTTGCCCCTTGTGTGTCTCACCCTTTGATATAACGTTACTCATATCCAGAAAGAATGCTTATGTTTACTGAGCTACATGTATTTGTTGTTGCAGTGGAGAATGAGGAAGACATTGTAATCACAGACGACGAAGATGATGAAGAAGAGGTATTATATCATGCAAATTTTCATATAATATAATTGTACTCAGTAAAGGTGAAAATTACCGTTACTAAGGGGAAACAAACTCGGGACTTTGGCAACCGACTGCTTAATACAGGATGTCCGTTTTTAAATGCATTAATTACGATGCCGCTACAGGTTTGCCGCATCGTGTTGTCTTAAACGCTGGGATTAGGAAATTTGTAGTTACGAGCATTGCCTTTTCTTCAAGGTACTGAAACTGTAATGAAACATTTTCATGACTTCGCATGGTAACATTTTATTGAAGAGTATAGTTACTTGCAGAGTATAGAAGAGTATAGTTACTATCAAACAGTTGGATCGTGTAAATTTGGTGTAGATGTTCTTTTTCGGTTACGTTCTGGTGTTTGTTTTTCTCGTTTTCCTCGCTTCACAATAAATGATTCTCGTCCTTTAAGTAGGTATCTGATTTTGATCAATTCTGTAATCGTGCTTTATTAGTCTAAAGAATCTCCAACCTTATAAATGAAATACATTTTAAAGTTAGCGTTAAGCTGTAAATTTTCTCCTCCGGTGTTTATTTAATCTAGATTGTTTACTTCCTTTAAAGTACGAAGCATGGAAAGTCCGCGAACTAAAACGTATCAAAAGAGACAGAGATGAACGGGAACAGTAAGTACTTCTATTGACTGACTTTAAAGTTTCTCACTCTCTTTTCGCATACCCTCATATCCTTGGTTTCAGCAAACTGTCCGGGGAACTTGACGAAATGTCGGAAAGGGGTGTCCTTCTTCTCTTCTGTCGCTGTATTCTCACTGCCACGAACACCACTGGATGGTTCTAAGTTTGACTGCTTTATCGAGAGTTCTCAGAAATTTGTCTTTATCTCTAGATTAGAGAGGGAACGGCTCGAGGCTGAACGTCTCCGTAACCTGACAGAAGACGAATGGAGAATGGAGGTGAAAAATAATCCGAAACAAGTCACGAACAAAGCAATCAAAGGCAAATACAAGTTCTTACAAAAATACTATCACCGGGGAGCCTTCTTTATGGTGAGTACACACCTGTAGTGTTCTTACAGCTGTACGGTGATTTGTTATGGAAACTCCAAACGATGCTACGTGTACATCATGCTAACTCACGATGTTCCTTGTTCTGAAGGACAAAGAGGATGGTGTGTACACGCGCGACTTTGCTAAACCTACACTGGAAGATCATTTTGATAAAACAGTTCTTCCTAAAGTAATGCAGGTATGTATTAAGTAAACCTTGCATACTCCGTAGATATATAGACTAATTTCAAATGAGTGAGAAATGTTATTTGGTATTACCATCCTCTGGTTTCATCTCGCCGTGCTAGGCGACCCTCCTATTTGATCACTTGTAAAACTAAACCCAATTTTGACTTAGTTGCCACGTTGTCCCACGCATTAAGCAGTTCACATCTATTACTTTGAGTTGCGATAGGCTCCTTGTGACATTTCCCTTTGTTCCAAATAGCACTTTTGGTTGGTAAATGGTTTTGATCTGTAAGACTTGATCGGATTGTGCGTTTTAATAAGTTATCACGCGGAAGACATGACGAATATGAACGAGAAATGCTTGTTGGGCTACAGCTCATGCCTTGGAATTTTTAGTAAACCTTAATCCTCGAGAAGCTTTTGGAGCAATACTCCTGCAGTCAGAGACAAAAGCACTTGGGACGCTGAGTAAAATGGCGTTCCGTAACGAAATCGTTTGGTTTTGTATGTCTCCATTCAATTTAGAAGCCCCCCCCCCCCCCCCCCCTCCATCCGAAGAAAAAATCCCGAATCCCAGCTGCGTAGTTAGATCGAGAAAACACAACAGTGTAATGAGGTACTATAATGGGGAAAATCGAACACCACTACGATTACATAGAGAAACAAAGCCTCGTCTTTAGACTTTTTTCTAATGAGTTTAGTCACGTTATAACAACCAGGCGAAGCGGTTACATCCTGCATCCATTGCAGATAATTCTACAAAGCACCGAAACTTGCGCTAAGTAGTAAAAAATGAGGGAGTCCTCAACAAATTCAAAGGCAGTAAAAGCAAGTAGATTGAATGACTCCATGTGGAATTTTCTCCGTTGTAGGTGAAGAACTTTGGTCGATCGGGTAGGACTAAGTACACTCATTTGGTCGATCAAGATACAACACAAGTAAGTCTTACCACTAATACTTTTGATGTGTTCTATTTATAAAGGCAAACAGATCTGCAAACGTTAGAATTACCGGTAGAATTATTGTCACTGGGATCAAATAGTCTCCGCCCGCAAACGTCCCATCAGTTGCATCTCTCTTTCATGTATATAAACTCAATGAAAGACCCGCCTTTAACCTTTCTGAAATTAAACAGTAGTGGAATCCATTTTTACGTTTCACCTAAGTTAGCGTGTGGCTTAATATCTCTATATTACTCTTTTCTTCGTCGAAGATGGATTCGGCGTGGACTCAAGAGAACACCTTAGCCATGAAATTCCACACGATTCGCGCAGGTGGCAGTAAACAGACATTCCAAAGACCAAGCAAGAGAAGAAAATAACGAATGGGTTTATACTTAAGTTGATCTGTTCGTCGTGTTCAATTTGCCGTTGTCACAAATTTGGTCAGCAAGAGTTGAGTCGACGGTGTTGAATGGTGGAAAACTTGGGGAAGGGTAGTTTCTAGTTGTGGTCTCGTTCAGTGGTCCAGCGGCGTATTTTGTGGAAGATAGCCTGTGTAACAGTCTTTTTGTTTCCTCTTGGCCAAGTGGGAGAAGCATGAGCGAAACGCGAGGCCCACGACCTCACGTGACCCTCACTTCGCTAAAAGGAATCGGAAACCACTCCGACAAAGGCAGTGTACAACAAGATTTTAAGAATTGACCCGGTGTGTTCACCGACTCCCAAGGATATTCTGGGTACTACTGGAGCACCCCTTAGAAACTTTGCTTTGGTACCTACGAACCATCTGGCGCTTTTGTAACATTTCTTCGAATCCTTGTAGTATGTTCTCGTATCAAAACTTCGAAGCAATTATCCCGAGAAGGCTCGCTTCCTTTTTGTACATATAGTGGAAGGAGTTGGTAATAAAACACTGCTTTTTCGAACGTATTATGCCTCACATATCACTGACCGACTTAGATGGGGAGGATGAATTATTACCCTGTGTTTCCTGACTCAAGAAATCCGCACACGTAAAAAAAGATGCATATGTTGCGGGTTCAAACTAGAGGGGGAATTTTCAGTTCAGTGGGAAGTTTCCAGTGCACGTCTCTTCCCATTCTAACGAAATCAGACGTTTCAATCTATTTGTGACATAAGGAGGAGAATTGGCAAAAACCAGATCGTCATTATCTTTGTTTATATAGACAAAAACTTAAAGATTACATTTTTGCCTACTCGTCGCGTCACGAAGGGATTCCTGCAGGTAATTGTATGGAAGCTCGGTAGCTAGTAGCTGCTGTTCCACGTGTTCAGTTTGAAAAACGAAGCGCGGTTGCAAAACGCGTAATAAAAGCGGAGGAGTGAAAAGACTAGGGAGGCTTGAGTCGGGTCGCGCAAAGGACGTATTATGCAACTCCACTAAAACTTCCCTTGCATTTTCGCTCCGCTTCCATTGTCGCGCCGTTACAGCTTTCTGGCGCGCTTTGTTTTAGTGACAGCGCCTGGAACAGGCTATCAGCTGGCGCTGTTAGGGAGCTTGGGTTCGATTTGTGAGATTTTTGCGCGCTCGTTGGCGTTACATTGGGGCTTATATGAGTAATTGTACTAGCTAGTACCTACTAGGGCTGTTGTAGACTTCGGATCAGTTTATGTGTGTGTGTGTGTGTCTTTGCGTTTGTTGTGCACGTTATGCAGCAGGCAAAAACATGAAGGATAATTAGACGGACCTTGATTTTATTGACCTCGAGTAAGAAGCACAGTGATAACGTGACAGATGTAAAAAACTTCACCGTTAAGTCAAATTGAGCAAGAGGGCTCAAGTCGATATTAGTCTTTCTCAGTGGCCGAAACTTTGCACTAACTGCAGCTCATGTAAGAAAAAATATATGAATTATACTATACGATTTAACCATACTTTCGTTCACATTCTCTGCTCTATTTACAATGTACTAATATTTACTCTGCAAGAAACTTTAAGAAAAAGAAATTAAAGTTTGTTAATAACACCCAAGTAAGCTACCGATGCTCTTTGCTCGCTTTACCTATTAATAAAGTTAATAAATAACATTAGATGACGCTGTCCCGTCGAAGGGGCAGTATGTTAATGTAAGTATTTATCCACTAGGTAGAGATTTTTTAATGGTACAGCATTATCCGCCCTTTGAACAACTGTGCCTTGTTGGTTACGGTGCCTACTAAGATGGCCGACTGAGTCTCTTCGAATTTCTTCATTGACAATGGTTCTAACTAAGGTAGCTGTTTCCCTGTCTCCTTAGTTGGTTATGATAGTACAAGGATATCCAGGGACGTACCATCTACAGCAAAAAAACAATTCGGCTGCAAATCGTAGGTGTAATTTCCATCCAGATAACTAGCGTAAAAATCGCAAATCGAAGGTATATCTACTGCTGTGGAGTTCTACATAACACTCGACTTTATAGCAAGGGAGATTCATTTTGTGCATAGGTAGCCAAGACTGTTACTAGCAGCTGCGGCTAATGTTACTTTGTTAGTTATTAGTATTTTATCAGTCTCCTTTTCCTTTTAATAACTGTTTGATCTAACCTTTAGCACGATAGTCGAGTGAAGAAAGTGCGGAATACTGTAGAAGCCTAGAACTTCATTGTTTGGCGCCTTGACGCTTGTTTGAAAAACTACTGGGGGTTCCAGAGTAATGTTTATTCATGACTTCTTCTTGAATCCTTCGATTGGGCACTGGTCAGTACCTCTGAATAATTATGTTCGATGTCCTTCATCCGTGTTTCACAAGGTATGTCATTTGACGAGAAATCTCCATGCCTTGACATGACTCTGTTCACTTCAGAAGTTATTAATAAAGTGAGAATTTCAACGAAGCAGGCAAATCGGTCGCGGGTCACGGGTAAACTGTCTTGGGTCCAGAAAAATTGCGCGGGTCCACTTATTATTTCTTTGTTCTTGTAAAAATAATATATTTTTCCACACATCCGTTTTTGGTACGGTCGCACAACACTTCTCGCTACAAACGGCTGCTTTGACGTGAACCACATTCCCTGTGTAATTAACAATTATTCCACTCGCGCTTGTTGGATATGAGATGATAGATAGCCAACGAGGCGCGTAGCGCCGAGTTGGCTATAATCATCTCATATCCAACAAGCGCGAGTGGAATAATTGTTTTATTAAAAACGTTAGCTTAAATTATTAAATTTTATTAAATTTAGCTCCCTTTTAATTTTAAGCTGATACGTACGCTTACCATATTTGTAGATTATGGTATATTGGCTGATATACCATAATGGCTAAGCCAATAAAAAGTCTTGAATTGCATTATCCAATGATCTAGTTTTTAATAAATACAATTATTCAGCAGTACTATCCCAAATAATTTTCTGAAAGTTAAGTCAGACAGCAGCAAATGTTTTGGTCTTGGAAGTTCTCTGGTTCTGAAATCCTCGTCCATTTCTCTATGAATATCTTACAGCTTTTCAAAGTCGTGTTTAAGTTTTAACACAGGCGCACTATGTATAATTTCGGGGCTTAAAGGGTAAACAGGAATATCTAATATGCTGAATACGTGTTTTCTGGAGTAGTGCTAGGCAAAATTTTCTTGGTATGGAACTTACGTCTTTGTCAATGGCGTCTCGTTTCGAGATAGTTGACGAGGAATATATCGAAGAATTAAAAGACAAGAGTGAAAACTAAAACACGAGGAAAAGCGCGGAGTACTGGAAGAACGTTTTCAAAAGTGGGCGAATGAACGAAACTTCCAAGCAAATTTCGAAGAGTAGGAGAGCGATGTCCTCTACCGAACACTGGCGCAGTTTTATGCCGAGTTACGAAAAGAATACGGGGATGAATATTAATACGAGCCCGACTGCCTGAAAGTAATGCAGGCATCACTGGAGAGATATCTAAAATCAAACTTCTATCCAAAGTCCTTGTATCTTTGTGCAAAAATAAAATTTCATTCAGCTCATTCGTGCGTTTGTGGCCATTGATTCTCTGTCAACTTTAAATGGCTTCCTATGACTGATTACTGAAGAGCGCATTCAGAAATTCAGTAATTTTCCCCTCAATTTCATCGCAATGGGTAATCGCAATGGGTCCTCGTAAAATTAAGGATTAATATCACTTGTGTTTTCAGAAGTTGCTAAAAACACAAGTGATATTAATCCTTAATTTTACTCGGCCCCATGCGATTACCAATACTAATTGAAACTCATAAAAACCCACTGAGCGTTAGCCCTAGTAAAGGGTATACGGGAGCCACACGAGGTAAAGAAAAAATTCTTGTGATCTCGGTGAGAGTGGAATCCACGACCTCCGGATTAGATCGACCGCTGCCCTGGCGACTAAGCTACGAGGCCGGACTGAGAAAGTCGGGGTCGATCAAGTTCATTCTCTGTTCCATAATGTTTTTTCTTTCTAAATTTGTCAGCTTCTGCATATAAAAAGTACACGGCTAATTTCCTGAGTGAACGAGAACCAATCCGAGCGCTCGGATTTACTTCAAGACTTCCTTGCCATATAACATACTGAAATATATATTTTTCCACTTTATATATTGTTTACCATATCCAGATGATATGCTACGTGGCTATAGTGCATCTTTATGATCTTCGAAGATATGAAGCCGATCAGTGTAGGTAAGATGCTGACCAATTCGGGTTTCAATTTCTGAAAGACAAAGAAAATAATCCGTTTCAATGTTAATGATAAAAGCATTGCAAAATGTTTTTCTGTGATTTTTGTAACCTGAACAACATCTTGATATTTTTTCTTGTTTTGTTTGTTCGAGAAGTCGACAGTTGATTGTCCATCTTGGTTGGTCTTCCATCTGACCCCCCCCCCCCTCAGAATTGTAACACTGCAGTGTTTAGAGAATAACAGTTCTTTCTCAGGGGTACTTCACTTTCAATTCAATATCAAAAGAAAAGGGTGTCCTCTATGTTTTATTCAAAACTGAGCTTTGCGTCTATCTTTTGTTGCGCGTTTGGGTTCTTTTACGAAAAGGGAAATTTATTGAATGAGTAAAATCAGAACTGAAGACCAAGAAACGTTATCCACGTGTTTCTTCTGTTAAAGTTTAAAACCCTCATTTATGTACCTGCTTTGTTGAAAGTGTTTTTGTTAGAGATCAAGAGCCTCACCCTTTTAACGAACATTTTCGAGCAAAGAGATATCCCTTTGATATTCCTTCCCCAGAGATAGTAGGTACATTTCTTTGCCGTTCTCGGCAAAACAACAACGTGAAATAACCAAATTTTAGGTTTTCTCGAGAACGTGAGCGTATGACGATTGATTTTTCTTTCTTTTTCCTTACTTTAACGCCGTTCGAAGTGATATAGTCCCTGAATAGTTCGCCAGCATTTTCCAAGTGAAACACTTCGGAATAATCTCGAAAGAGTTACAAAAACGAAAAGTTAGATTTCGACACGACATTTTCGTTGCCGTCGCCGTCGTCGTTGCTAAAGCTCCCTAATAATCTTTTTTACGCCTAAGGAGTGAGTGCTACTGCAAGGTTCTGCATGCGATAGGTCTTTTTGTTTTTGAATACCTTTAACATTTACTTACTATACACATTTTTCTTTGATAAGTTATAAAGTATACCTTTCTTGTTTTGTTTGATAAGGACTATTCCCAATCGCTCTCTGCTCTCTTCAAAGCAAAAAAGCCTTGTCAAAAGTAAAATATAACCAAATTTTACGCTCTCACTATCAGAATTCGGACACTTAACAGCAATATAGTTTATCTTTTCTTTTTTCTTTCCTTGGTAAGCTCGTTTCTGTGCTTTGTTAATCGGAGTAGTCGTCAAATGTGGACTCAAATCCACAGAATGATCTTTTTATTTTCGCGGCAGGAACTCATAATCTTCACTAAAGCTGGAAGAAAAAAGTTTTCACATAGTTACTCGGGGTCTTATCAAGGAAAACTTCTCATTTTCATTTCTTACTTTACTCGGAGGA